TGCTGCTAACAGTAAACATGGGGGCGACAGGGTAATTACACGGGGGTACTGTTGAGAATGACTTAAGGTAATGAATATAGAGTCCCCAGCACAGAGCTGGGAGCCGAGAACTATAGATCTTTTATTTTCTTTTAATTTACCCTCGAAGCTCACTGTTAGCTCCTCCGTCTTCCCTCCCCGTCCCTGACGGCCAGCCTCTCCCTTCGGACGTGTTAATGCCGTGGGTTTGGGAGCCTTTCTGGGCTCCCCAGAGGACTCTGCGCAGCTCTGACCTCGTCCATTGCGTGTGTATTTGCCGTTGACACTCTCCGCGGGCAGCCTTAGCTCCCTCATTTGCAAACCCTGGCTACTGTCCCCACACACCTCCAGGGGGCCTGTCTGCCAGGAGCTCACTTCCTTGGCAACTGGAATAGACTCAAGCAAACCCTGTCACCTGGCCTCCGGTTCAGGGAGCGCGTAGAGGAGGAATGGGCTGCGGCTGCACAAAATCAGAGCCGGTAACAGGCACAGCTTCGCTCTGCTGCTCCCTTCCTCTCTGCCCTGAGGTAGGTGGCTGGGACCTGAGAGGCGTTACTCAGACCATTTCTCCTCCTCACACCTAGTCCTGTGGAAGCTAGGCAGTTTAAAGGGGTGTGTGGGACAGCTGGAGACAGGGGCTTCTCATAGCCTCCCTAAGTCTCTCTCATGTGCACACACACAGATGCGCACACGTACCCTTCCTTGATTGATTATATCGCTGATTGATTATAGCCGTGGCCCCATTAGCCCGGCCGCCGCTCCCCATTTGTCAGCTCCGTCACTGGCTCAGTTCGCAGCGCGCCCACACACTAGCTCCAGGAATAAACTGAAATCTGAAGAAAGTACGGGCGACGCTCAGCGCCACGCCTCAGCTTTCTCTTCCAACGGGGCCCACCCAGCTGCACCCACCTCTCCCTGTGAGCCTCACAGCGGCGCACAAATGCACAGGCAGGCTGAGAAGGACCTGGCAGGGGGGAGACCACACTCACATGTGCCTGCCACATACCAGGCACGGTGCTAGGGGTCAGACCCGTGTTGTCTCTTTTTTTCTTTTTTATTGTGGTTCAAGGACAGTTGTCCCCATTTTCCCCTCACCACTCCCTCCCTCCCCAACTACCCCCACCTCCCAGGCACCTCTGGCTTCGTCTGTGTGTCCTTTATACATGTTCCTCGATGACCCTCCCCCCTCCCCTCTGGTCGCTGTCAGTTCTTAATTTTAATGTCTCTGGTTATACTTTGTTTGCTTGTTTGTTTTGTTGATTAGGTTCCACTTATAGGTGAGATCATATGGTATTTGTCCCTCACCACCTGGCTTATTTCATTTACCATAATGCTCTCCAGCTCCATCCACGCTGTCACAAAGGGTAGGAGTTCCTTCTTTCTCTCTGCTGCGTGGAATGCCATTGTGTAAATGTACCACAGTTCTTTCATCCACTCATTTACTGATGGGGTGTGACCACCTGGTCAGTGGTAAGTGCTTTTCTGCCCAGGATGCAGGTGGGAAAGGGAGGCTGCAGACCATGCACGTGCCTGAAGGACCTGTGTGTTTAAGGAGCAGAACTAGCGTTTCCTCCCAGCTCTGCGGTTTCCAAAGGTCCCTCTTCACCCTACCATCCTCTGTCCCCACGTATGACAATGGCAGATTCCTCTGTTCCCTGTGTATGTACTGAGTGCCTGCTATGTGCCTGGCACTGCACCAGGGTCGGAAACAGCCGTGGACAAGGCTCGTCCCTCACTGGTGTCAGGCCTGGCAGAGCTGATGAGTACCTGAGCAGGCAACCTGGATGTTATCGCCACCGCCACCACCCACTGCCAGCCTCAGTGACAGAAATAGCTCAGGGCAAACCAGTTCCAAAGAAGATACAGGCCCGTCATCGAGGAGCACACATGCAGGCCAGCAGAGGGGGGCAATGGAGGTGAGGGGAGGGAAGCCCCCTGCTGGCTGCACTCAAAGCCTTAAGAGAAAGTGACGCTGTTCTAGAGTCTCTGAACCAGACGGGCACTCGAGCACGAGTCTCCTTCCCTCCTCCTGTCCCTCTGTAATACAGCTTTCATAAGTCCCTGGGAGCCAATACGGGAAGAGCTTGGATTCCTCACAATCTGGGTTTGACTGAACAGCAGGCACTAACATTCGATGCTGCGGCCTGGGCCGTGCCAGTCCCAGGCTCTGAGAGGCAAGCAGCCTCGCTCTCTCCTGGCGTTCTGACCGCAGCCCCGGTGCCTTCGGCCCGTGGTTCCCGGCAGGTTGTCATTTGTCAGCATCAGCCTCACCGTTCATGGCACCATGCAGGAGAAATAGGCTCAGCCAGTTCTGTGGCCAGGGGGTGGAAGCTTGTGTGGGTAGAGCTCAAGGACCCCACCCCTGTCCAAGGAGTGGAGGCGACAGGAGGTACCGAGCTGTGACCAGCATCCATCCAGAGGGCTGATGCACAAAGCTGGTACCCTGAGCAAAACCAGAGAGGGTGGGAGGGTACTCTCCAGAGTCCTGGGATGGTATTTCCAAGGGAAGGGCAGAGGAGGTGGCCTTTAGCACCCAGGGCAGAAAGATGAGAATGGAAAAGTATGTGTGATTTGTCAGCAAGGGAGACATTGCTGACCTTGGCCAGATCCAAGGAGTCAATGGCAGACTGTAGTGGTTTGAGAAGCTCATGGGTGTTACAGAAAGGAAATCGCTGGTATAGGAGGTTCGGTAAGCCTAAAGGTCAGTGCGCATTTCTCCACGTCCCCAAACACTGCCTGTGTTCTGGCCTTTGCCCCACTTAGCTGCTACAATGTCAGGTCTGCCGTACAGGGGAGATTGCCATTTAAGGATCGTGAACATGAAGAAGACTACAGGCTCCCGCCGTCTCCCTCCAGCCCGTTCCTAACCACTTCCCCATGACTTAACCCGTGAACTCCAAGATTCTCTTTGCTCCAATGGTAAAGTCACCACCTTAACAGACTTGGCCCAAATTGCTCCTATGACTTTTGATCATTCCAGGTTATTTCTAAGCTGGTGCGGCTTTAAGGATACAGTGATGACAGTGATGATGATAAATAACTACCTGTGTTGTAAGACAAGTGACTTACCCTCTCAGAGTTTTAATGTCTTCATTGGTAATAGCCAATAGACCTTGGCTATTTGGTTCACTCTGTCTCCAAGTGCCCAGCACAGTGCCTGGCATGTAGTAGGTGCTCCGTGAGTGCTGAGTGAATCTGAATCACCCATCAGTGCCGGGACACCTGTCCTCCCCCATCCAGGGGCTCCGCCATCTCGGTCCAAGGATGTCCTTTAGATGTGTGCCCCATCCCCAACGCCCAGAATCAACAGGTGAGGTGCCTGCCTTTCCCGGAGGAAAGGTGGGGGGCTTCTCCTCTGCCTAAGCCAAATGAAATATTAATGTGGAAAAGAACACCTGGCCCTGGGTGAGGAACTCCTGTGTGTTTGAACACGGTGAAGCTGTTTCCTGAGAGACAAAGGGGAGAGGAATGCCGGCCAGGACAGGCTCACTCAGGCCTCTGGTCCCCCACCTGGCTGAGTATCGCTCCCCCGCATTCTGTCTTGCTGTCATCCTTTTATGACTCTCCCTGAAATAGTGACTGCGAGGGCCACATATCATTCGGAATAAAGTTTAAACAAAATTATACAGAGTGAACCACAGATGATATTCAAACACCAACACCAACACCACCCGCCCTCTACTGGGAACCGGTGAGACCCTTTAACCAATGGAGGTTTCTGAGACCTGGTGTAGTCTGACCTGGTCCAGATTCCCCTCATGGACCATTGCTCTGTCCTTGTCCCACCTGGGCCTGGGCTGACACAGTTACTTCCCGGCAGCGTGACTGGTCTTCGCAGGTCTGCGCCAGCCCCTGCGTATGCACAGGCTCAAAGTTGTGTCTAGTCAAACGACTTTAATAAGATGGTCATTGCTACAGAGGGCTGCTGCCTCCAGTATTTTGCAAAGTGCCTTCTAGTGCCTCCTCATACTACCTGAGGAGAGCCTGCTCTCTCTGTATCAGAGATTACAAGCAGACAGCCCGTGCTGGCCTTGAGAACCAAGATTAGACAGAAGTACCAAGGTCATGGCTGAAAGAGATCGAGAGAGCGAGCCAAGGAATGGCGACAGCACTGTGCTAGTAGTGACCACAATCTATCCTGCGCCGGGTGAGCCGAACCTGTGTGTGACCTCATTCGGGCTCCCCAGCAGCTCCAGCAGGGAGACACTACTGCCCCTTTGCAGGGAGAAGGGACCTGAGGTAGGGAGAAGCTAAATGGCTTGTGCAGCATTGCAGGCCTCGTAAAGCGACAAAGCCAGGATTGATTCTGTCCATGGGTGTTAAGCCTGTGCTCTGTGGCCCTCTCTCGAGACCTTTCTCCCTTTCCAAGTGATGGCCACCGAGCAGGAACTGGCAGACGGATCCAGAAGGGAAGGGAAGGGGTCTCAAAGGAGCAGAGCAGGCCAGGCTTAGTCGGGAGGGATGAGGGGACGGAGAGTTTGCAGCAGTACGTGGAGCACTGTGCTCTGCAGTCCTGGGTGACTGGCTGCGCAGGCGGGTCTGGCTAGTTTAAAGGCTCAGGGTCTAGAGGATTCAGGGGGTTGGGGAGTCACAGCGATGGTACCCGAACGTGCCCAGGTTGATCATTCTCTCATCAGCCATCTGTGCAGCTGCTCCTGCATGGCCAGCCCAGTGGGCTGCACCCCTGGGAAGCCTTGGAGACCTGCCTGCTGTCCTTGGCTCTGGCAGGGCCATGCACTGTGAGATGAGAGAGTGTCCCCCAGCCCCTGCCCTCTGGCCTGGACTCCAGAGTGGTTTGGGCAAGCTGCCCAGCCTCCCTGGGTCTCAGTTGCTCCATCTTTAAACTGAGAGGCTGACTTGGGGTCTGTCTCCTCCTCCTCCTCCTCCCCAAGCCCACCTTTCCCACCCGCCCTGCCCTCACGCAGGGAAGGCTGGTGCCCGGCATCCCAGGGACCCTACCTCTGCCTGCCTTTTCTTTTCAGGAAGTCGGTCATCCAGCTCGACCTCGCCAACACCAAGAAAGCGATGATTGTCCCCGCGTTCGAGACGCTGCGCTACCGGCTCTCTTTCCCCAAGTCCAAGGCAGAGTTACTGTCCATGCTGGACATGGGGACCCTCTTCACATTCAGGTGAGTGGCCCTCATGGCTGCCCCCTGGGGGTGCCCGAAGGCCTCGCTTCAAGGAAACCCAGACACCAAAGCTGTTGGTGGAGGTGGAGGCTCGGGTCCCTGCCTTCGCCCAGCCTGGCCACCTCACCCACCGACAGAACTTACTTAAAGTTCACCTTTTGGCCAGTGTCCGTTCAGCACACAGGACAGTTCCTCGGGGGCAGTGCAGCCTCCTGTGCATGGGCAAAAGGAGGAAGCAGCTGCGTTCCCCGCCGGAAGAACCCCACTAGCTGCCCCAGACGCTCAGGGCACCCTCTGTTGCTTTGGAGAGTCCTCCCTGAGGTGGAGACGGAACCAGGACTGTGCGGTCCTTTCTCCCTGCAGCTAAGTTGTTGGGCTCCCATCCTTTTGTCTTGCTGTCATTTTTAAGAAGCATTTCTTTCTAGAATGTCCTTTTCCCCCAATTCCTTTTTCTTGGGCCCTGACTGCTGCTTCATTAGACTCCCAGCCTCCTGCCATCTCTTCATAACCTCCAGAGGCAAGTTCCTGCCCCACTGACTGGCTCCTGTCTTGGGTAACTCTCAGAGCTCTGAGATCACTCATTCATTCATTTATTCAAGTCAGTGGGCAGTCATTGACTACTTGCTCTATATATAGGTCAGAGGGTGTGAGTGACAGTGACATATAAGAGAGGTAACCCATCACAGTGGTTAAGGGTCTTGGCCCTTGAGCCAGGCTGCCTATATTTGAATCCCAGCTCCACCACTTAGTATTTGTAACTCAACATGGGGTAAGTTATAAGAATTTAAAGCTCTAGATAATAGCATTTACCATGTAACTAGTGTATAGTTAGTGCTTAATAAATAACTTACTAACGTTGTTGCTGTGTGGTTGCATTCATTTTCTATTGCCATATAACAAATTACCACAGATTTTAAAGCTTAACACAATAGGAATGTGCTATGGCACAGTCTCTAGGGGTCAGAGGCCCAGACGCAGAATAGCTGCATGCCGTGCCCAGGGCCCCACCTGGCTGAAGTCAGGGTGTGGGCCAGGCTGCACGTGCTCCTCCTCCAGGCTCCCCGGCTGCTGACAGAACTCCCTTTCTTGAGGTCATAGGCCTGAGGTCACCACCGTTTCCCTGCTGGCTCTTTGCCGCGTGGCCCCCGAAGGCGGCTCACACGTGGCTCTTTGCTTTCTTCCAGACCCACATCTGAAGGGCCACATGATTAGGCCAGACTCACCCCAATAACCTCCCTTCCAGTTAATTCAAATCTAACTGATGAACCACCTTAATTGCGTCTACAAAAATGCCGTTTGCCATATAATGTAACATAGTCACAGGAGTGACATGCTCCCAGGTTCTGCCTCCAGGGGGAGAACTTCTAGGAAAGGTAGTGTGGTTGAGGGTCACTCAGAACTCCGTCTTCCAGCCCTGGCTGGCATAGCTCAGTGGATTGAGCGTGGGCTGCGAACCAAAGTGTCACAGGTTCGATTCCCAGTCAGGGCACATGCCTGGGTTGCAGGTCATGGCCCCCAGCAACCGCACATTGATGTTTCTCTCCCTCTCTCTCTCTCTCTCTCTCTAAAAATGAATAAATAAAATCTTTAAAAAGAAAAAAAAAACTCGGCCTTCCGGTGGTCTCTGGGGGGAGCAACATTAGTAGAGGCTAACCTGCAGTTCGCTCCATATGAATGAGGGTTAGGCATTGAACGCATCTTTTGGGGAAGACACGGTTCAACCCACAACGAGGACTATGTCAGCACATTTCTCTTCTTCCTCTAAATCGGCAGCATGTAGAAAGCTCACCTCTCTTCCTTCCATTGAGTGGCTTTTCTCCCCGTGCCCCAGGTACCACGTCTGGACTAAAGGCCACGCGCCCACCAACTTCGCCAAGTGGCGGACCGCCACCACGCCTTACCGGGTCGAGTGGGAGGCCGATTTCGAGCCGTACGTGGTTGTGAGACGGGACTGCCCGGAGTACGACCGGAGGTTCGTGGGCTTCGGCTGGAACAAGGTGGCCCATATCATGGAGCTGGATGCGCAGGTGAGGGGAGTGCAATGTTGTGGACCTGGGGGTGGGAGGGGGGAAGCTTCAATCTTAGAGCTGAAGGGAGCCTTGGACATAAGAAAGCAGAGACCGAGGAGGGAATGGGAGGTGTTCAGGGCCCTAGAGGAAGAGTGCGGCAGTGCTGATCCTCAAGGCTGTGGATGCCCAAACTGTCCCTCTTTTATCCTCGGGTGAGAGTGGGGTTCCTTCTGGCCAAGGCCCAGGCAGATGTGGGGGTCACATGACAGCCATTTCACCCCCTCATGCCCACTCAGTCCAGTGATGCAGACTAGCAAATGGTGACCATTCATCACAGCCTCTGAGTCGTGTCATTGACACAAAGCATTCTGGGAGCTCCATATATAAATGCCACAAAGCATGCAGCTCAGATTCAGCTAATTATCCCAGCTCACAACTAAGAGTGATGTATCTAGGCTGCGTTTACTCGTGAAACCCTTTCATTCCTTCAGCGAACACTCGCTGAGCCCCTACTTCAAAGGCCATCTCCTGCAGAAGTCAAATAGGTTCAACCAAACCAGGCTCTGCAGACTTTTCCTGGGAAGGGTTAGATAGTCAATTGTGGGGGGGGGGGCTTTGTGGGGCTTAGGGTCTCAACTCTGCTCCTGTGGTTCAGTAATAGTATCTAAACCAATGGGTGTGGTTGCATTCAATAAAGGTTTATTTACAAAACCATGCAGTGGGCCACACGTGCTGCAGTTGATTTAACCCTCGTTAAACAAAGCAAACTAATCTGGTTAAGGTTGGGAGGATGCCTGGGCCCCTCACGCCCACCCTTTTTCCCCTCTGTACTGTTCTCCAAGGCGCCCCCTCATGGAGCACAGTGGGAATATCCCTCAACAAGAACACCCCAGATTCAGGGGGAAATGATGGATGCTCAGTGCTGGCTGCCCTCAAAATCACCTGGAGAACTTTCCAGCAGTTCCAGTGTGTTTGAGAGCAGGCCCAGGTGATTGTCATAAATGTCTGGGCCCGAGAACCACAGATACTGATGGAAGGTTCTAGAATAGTGTCTGTATTGAACAACAGAAAGTATGACCTTTCATATCCATATTTTCAGTTATCCTGGGAAGAGGGCCGGTGCTGTTCGGTCAAAAATATTTAGTCTGTCTCAGCTTCTGCTTGAAAGGAAAAAAATGTAATATCCGTGCGTCCAGCAAGGTGGTAAGGTGAACCAGTTTGAATCAAGTTAATTTTCCAGCACCGAGATCTGGGCTTTGTTTGAGGCAATTTTGACAGAACTCTCGAAAATTCTTCACTTGTTTTCCTCTCTTTGCCAATAGCGCATGCCAAATATACTTTTACACTTTCCGGCGATTTCAGGAAACAGCATGTACACACCTGACAGGTAATCTGTCCACACCCATAAGGGCTAGGGGGCTGGTAGGTTTCTCTGTCCCCATGTGCAATGCCACAGGCAGCTGAGCTCTGGGAGTTCTTGCATTTTTTTTTTTCGTGGTTTTTCTCACTCCTCCTCACCATTAGTATTTCTCCATCCTGAAGTTCCCTCTCTGAGTGTATTCCGCTCTGGGCTAGGCAACTAGACGACCAAGTTTATTAGGCATTATGTCCAAAGTCAGCAAACATAGATTCCGAGTCAAGGTGTGCCAGGTTCTCCCTTGAGTTTCATGTCCGAGATTTGGGTCACCTGTTTTGCTTTTTGGAGATAAAATTTTGTTCTTGGTCTGAGTTTCTCTCTGTATTCTGTCACATAGAGGATGCCATGTGATGGTGTGAGTGGTAATAAGACGTGTAGACAAGAGCTTCGGTCCAGTGGGACCTTTTTTTTTTTCTTTCAGTTCCTTTTCTGGCCCCTCTTTTGTACAAATCTGTTGAAGCTGTCCGATCTCATTGGGCCCTGTGAGAAAGCACATAAACAGGTGTCATTTAATTGAGTAAGAGCCTCTCTCACAGCTTGCATCATTCTAGAGCAGGGGTGTCAAACTCATTTTCACGGGGGCCACGTCAGCCTCATGGTTGCCTTCAAAGGCCGAATGTAATCTTAGGACTGTAGAAATGTAACTACTCCTTAACTAGGGGCAAGGAGCTCGGTGCTGCCGCCGGGTAGAAACAAGGTGGAGGGTCGGATTTGGCCCACAGGCCTTGTGTTTGCCACCTGTGCTCTAGAGCAATTACGTGGGTATGTGATTACATTTATCAAGAACATTTTACGGGCCGTGAACCCTGCCCAGCGCTAGGCACACATTATTAGTCATCTTTCAAGGTCGGTATTAATACTTTCACTTTATAGTTGAGAAAACTAAGGCTCAGAGAAGCCAAGTACTTTGTCCAGCATCATGGGAAAAAACATGGCGGCGCTGTCCTTGGTGCTGCCCTCCTGGCTGATGACACGGCCCACTTCATTCATTCACTTCGCCGTGCAGCCACCCACTTGGACTCGCCGCCGTACGGTACCGAGCGTTCTTGCCAGTGCTCAGGCTGCTCTTGTCTCCTTCCAGGAATACGAGTTCACCGTGCTTCCCAATGCCTACATGATCCACATGCCTCACGCCCCCAGCTTCGACATCACCAAGTTCCGGTCCAACAAGCAATACCGCATCTGTCTCAAAACCCTGAAGGAAGAGTTTCAGCAGGACATGTCCCGCCGCTACGGTTTTGCCGCCCTCAAATATCTCACGGCCGAGAACAACAGCTAGCACCAAGAAGCGACCGCCAGGGACAGACATTCTGCAGGGGGAGAAGCCACTGGCTGTTTGGGGCCCAGCCTTCAAACTCAAAGTCAAGCGATGCTTTTTTTTGGTTTGTTTTTATTTGTCTCTTTGGCCCAACAAGGCTGCCCACACCACAGAGACCTGGGACAAGGATCCGTCCAGCCCCTCTCTGCCCCATGACCCAGCATTCCCAGAATATGGAAAAAGAGCTCATCCACACCGTCTCTTCAAGATTGGGACATGGAGGGGTGAGAGGGAGCAATAGGGTTCTCCTGCCACAAAGCCACAAATCCAAGCAGGTCTTTTGAATGTCTCATTGCTTTCTAAGAAAAGGAAGTTGGGGTGCTAGGAGTCTGCCATTCCAGGAAATAAAGGCAAAAAATGTGTCTTCACTCAGAGGAAACTTTCTTTTCTGCCCTGCAACCTAGCTGAGTACCCAAGGGGAGGGCAAACCCATGATCAGAACCAACCATTTGAAACAGCCCAATGGGGGGACATTGGACCTGGTGGGACCTGGTGGTGGGGGTCAGTTGGTTCTTTATGCTCAAGGTCCCTGTTGTTTTGTTTCGATTTGTTTTTGTTTGGGGGGATTTTGTTGGTTTGTTTTTGGTATGGGAATACCAAAATAGAAAAATCTGATCTTGTAAGGCTCTGAAGGAAAATCAGCCGCCCCAACCAATACCCCTCCATCAGCAGTGGCCCAGCAAGGAGGAAGCGTCTTCAGCCAATAGTTGAACGTGGGCAGCCTTCTACAGGATCACCGCTGAGGCCCCGTGACCTTGAATCCCCAGCTCCCCAGAGTCCAGGGGCTGAGACGGAAAGATGAAAACCGACTGTTTCACAACCAGTCACGTTTTCTATCGGCAATGACCGGTTCCTGGGGAAAGGGCTTTGAAGGAACCGGTTCAGTGCACAGGAAAGGTACGAACCTCTCAGGCCTTTGTAAGAACTTTCATACTTCATGTGAGCCCGGTTCTGAAGATTCATGCGTCCCTTTGGAGACCTTCGGGAAGGATGTGTCAGGTTTCTCTCTGCCCACGCCCACTTCGCCACGGCTGGGACGAGGTCACGACCTCAGGCTCCCTTTGGGCCCGTCCAGAGGGTAGACGAGCACCTTCACTGTTATGCAGATTGATCGAGGAGACACTGGACTTTGTACCCATTTTCTTGAATCTTCAATATTAATGTTGTGTTTACATGGATGAGATGAGAGTCAGCGCCCTACTCTGCTGGGCGGTTTGTATTGAGTTGCGATGTGACCGGCGAGCGCTGCATTCAATAAACGGAAGTATGGACTGATCCTTCCCCACTCCCCTCACGCTCCTGTAAGACGCGCCGGGGCCCACTTCAGTGCAGAGGGCAAAGGCGATAAACAGCAACTTGACGCTTTCTGTTCCCGTTTCATTTTTCTCATCATTGGCACCTAAACCCTTTTCTTCCTTGCCTCAGGTTACATTTCACTTTATCTTCTAACCCTCAAAGCATTTTGCACTTAGTTTTGGTCTCATCACAGACGGTTTATATACCAGCTATATAATGGGGTAGCAAGGCAGATCATGGGCATCAATAGTAAAGCGAACCCCCCCCCCCCCCCACTGTCCTGGTGGTCATATGAAACCCACGGCAGCCAGGTTTATGAGACCCTTGATGTGTTAAATGCTCAAAGGGATATGTCACTCAGATTTGTTTTTTTTTTTAAACTTAGGAAAACAATTGGCTATGTATATATTTATCATACATATATCACACATATAGCATATATGCAGCATGTATATTACAAAAAGTAAAGATGCCAAAAGTTTTCAAAGGACATGTTACATCCCCTTTCTCCACCGGCGCGTGGAGAACCCAGCTCACAAGAACTCACCGAGTGCATCTCTCTCCTCCGGTATTCGGGACATCACGTTGGTAGCTTGAAATGGCCATGATGGAGAGTAGGTACACCACAAATCAGGGCACCACTGCCCCAAGAGCTGGCTGTCAAACCTTTACCAGTGCGCCAGTGCCTTCTCTCCCCTGTGTGCACACGCAGGGTGCTCAAAAAGTCTCTTCTTGCTCTAGAGGAGGCCACTGTTAATGGATGTATCGATACGGCTTAGCCACTACCAGCTACTTGAGCCAAGTGCCACAGGTTCCTCAATGCTAAAAATTGATTCTTAGGTCCTTCAAGCCTTTTATTTTTAAATGTTTTTTCATGGCCACTGATTCATGCCCAGCCACCTTGCTTTCACTGGCAGCCCTGTGGGTATTATAGTGACCATAGAACTCATCATCCAACCTGGGCCGCCACCTAGTGTGAAAGGTGCTGACTGCTTTGAGAGAAAAAGTGCAAATTGGAAGAGGATGTAGCTTCATGGACACCTAATTTGTAAAAGCCAGAAACTGACACTCCAACAGGAGAAACACTTATTTCCCCAAAGACAGGTGCCCGACACACTGAAGCTGATCTCACTTAAGGCTAGAGCTCAGCTGTTGGCTGATGTCCAAGTTCAACATAGAGACTGTCTGCAGAGCTGACAGCACGGATTCCCAGACCTCACTTTGGGGGCAGCAGCTCGTTGCCAGCCATGTGTGGGGAGCTGCAGGCACCGGGGCAGAGGCAGTGGCTGTGGGTGTCGATTTCTTCCTACCGGTGTCCAAGGGCAGAACAAGCTTAGAGAGGGAGCGCACTGATACTGTCATGCTTAAATTAGCCGATATTGGCATTTCGCTGGAAGAAAAGGATTCTCTCATTTAACCTCCGTAATATTCAGTATCCACGGGAGCTCAGATGTATTGAGTCACCACTATGTGAAAGAACATTTTGCATACATTAGCTCATGGGATCCTTGTAGCAAAACAACAAAATGGGTATTATTGGTTATAGATGAGGAAACTGGGCAAGCTCTGGGGAATTAAGTAACTTTCCCAAATTCACATCATCAATACGTGGCCGAACCTGAGTTTAAGTGCAAGCCTACTTGTTTGAATCCAAGCCACAAAGCAAGCAATGTTGCTCCCTACCCCACTAAGAAATTGTTTAAATATTGGCCGACAGGAAGATGTGAACCTAGATACCGAGACTATTAGATTTCTAGTTTTTTTTTCGCTTCAGCACCCATCCAATAACATACGGTCTAGACAGTAACCTCTCCTGGATGCTCCAAATCTTGCTATGCTCATGGACTTTGTGAAAATTCATTTGAAATAGGCCTGGGCCATCTCTCACCATATTTGCCCAGCTAGATCAACTCTGGGGCACAGTAATTGACTCCCTGAATGCTCCTGGGTTATTTCCTAGGTGGCATGGCACAGGTAGAGGCCCTCAGTTGTAAGCTCCGCCTTGGCCCCCAGCTCAGCACGCTGCTTCCTAGTGATCTCTGTGTTGAGCTGACTTACAGAGCACATATTGGCTGACTTGACTAATGGCTTCTTTGTGCCCCATCATGAAAGGACAGACCCTACTTTAATTCTGTTCCTGTCAAAGAGTCCACTGTCTTTGGGTTAAGGCTTCATTTTGTGGTCACCAGGCCTTTCGGGGGCTCTGTGTTCATGGAAGAAACGTGATTAAAATCCCGTCTCTGACACAGCTTCTGCGCACTCTTGCTGCCTGCACACTGACAACCACCATTTACTCAGCCAGAGCTTCGAGGGTAGTCGGCACTGCAGAGTCCTCATCGCAACATTGCAATACAAGGAAGGTATCGTTGTCATTACCATCAATAGAATGGAACCAGCCCTCAGAGAAATTTTGTGACTTGCCCGTATCACACAGGTGGTTCATGGAGGTGCCAGAATTTGAACCAAAATGTGGCTGGCTTTGTCCTGACTGCTATGGCTCCGTTGGTTGGAGCATCATTCCATAAACCAAAAGGTCGTTGGTTCGGTTCCTGGTCAGAGCACATGCCTGGGTTGCAGGTTCATTCCCACATTGGGGCACGTATGAGAGGCAACGGATCGATGTTTCTCTCACATTGTTATTTCTCTCCTCCCTCCCTTGCCCTCTCTCGTCCTCAGGTGAGGATTTAAAAAAATATGGCTGGCTTCAAAAACATGTATTTCCATTATTTGCTGTTGTCTCCTCATGTGATACTGAAACCAGATTGGCTACTGGGCTTAGGCAGTCATACCTTCCTGTAGTTCACGGGTTATGTTGTTCTTTCCCCTCGGTTTTTAAACCTAAGGTTGATTTGCCAATTTAATGCCATTGACGTTTATGAAATATCAGTCATCTGCTAAATATGTTCTAAAGAGTTTCAGGCCCATAGAATCTAACATCAGAGAGCTACCACGCTCTTTGTATCCATTTAACAAAAATGTTCTTCATGCCCTCCAGTTTCAAGGAATGATTGGTGATACCTGACAGGAGCTCATAGGGCCACCACAAAAATGCAGGGTTTCTCACTATGAATTCGGATGGAGCTGGTCATTGGTTTGTTCCAACACAGACAGAGAGTCTAGTCTTGCGAGACAGCGTCTTGGGGCGTGAAGTTCTGGGTGATGTTGCCACAGCAGGTACCAAGGCCGTCTGATCGGTGAGTCAGGGGTGGCGTCGTGAAATGACTCACACAGTTTGCTCAGAACAAAACTCTGCAACAGATGCCTGGGTAAGTTGTGTTGCTGTGATTCTGAAGGAAGAAAGGAAGGGCTACAGTGGTGTCTGAATAATTTCACCGTAGTCATGATTGTTTCTTTCTGCATCCCACACATATTGATCGAGCAGCGACTCTGTGCTGAGCGCTGTGAATACAAGTGAGCCGGGCACGGTCAACCTCCATGCCGTGGGCAGTTCCCTAGATAGCTAAAAGTAAACAGATGATGCTAAGATAGGTTTCACCTGATTACTTTCATGCAAACCATTTGTTTATTTTTAAAGTTATGGTTTCAAATGGAAGAATTGGAAGAATAACACAAATAACCTCTATGCCCTTCATTCAGATCCACCAATTTTAACATTGGGCCCTATGTGCCTCGCATCTCTCTGTCTATATAGTATTTTTTCCTAAAACATGTGAGAGTGAATGGTAGATGCCATGCCCCTTTAAATCTGAGTACTTTAGCATATTTTTTTAAAAAACACACACAAGGACGTTCTCTTCTAGAACCACAATGCAATGATCCAACGCAAGCAAGTTAACATTGACAGAAAGCCATCATCTAATACACAGTCTCCTCTCAAAGCCTGCCAGATGTTCTAAGAACATGCCTATGGCAGAATCCACCTCCGTCCCATTCTGCATCCTGGATTCCCGGACCCATCCAAGACCAGACACTGCAGCTAGTTGCCTTGAGTCTCTGACCAGGAACAACCCTTTGGCCTTTCTTTGCAGTTTCTGAAAATGACATTTTTGAGGAGTATTTGCTAGTTGAGTGGTCTGAATGAGAAATAGCTGTATCTATGCAGGCCAATTCATAGATGAGTTATATATGTATATTGACATTTCCAGGGCATTACCGTTACACAGTGTATTATGTTACATAAACTTGGACGGGAGGTAGTGGTGAAGAAGCCAGGACTCAAAGCATCACCATCATTGTGTATGCCATGCATTGGTGAGCACATCCAATAGGCTGGACCCTACAGCACTCCGTGGTGTCACAGGACACACTGCTGACCCCACTCAGTTGCCTGGATCCCCAGAAAAATGAAAGGGATCATTTTTTTATCTGCTTAAAAGTTTTTAGCAACTTTTAAGATGTATTCATTAATTGAAATGCTTTGTATTTTAGGATGATGTATCTTACGTGTGGCTATAAGTATGAACCTTTTCAGTTTTTTTAGTTCCCTAGATCTACCAGAAAAAAAAAAGATGCAACAACAATGGAAGGATTCTTACATTCTTGCCTGCTTCATTACATATGGACCTGCATTAGCTAGTTCATTAACATGTCCACCCTGCCCAAAGATTATTTAACTTAGAACTGGCTACAGAGCACTCCTGGAGACTGGCAGAAAACAAGCAGAGTTGGGTGTGGAGGGAAAGCTACTAAGAGGAGACATCAAGGGTAGGGGGATCCTTGTGAACCTGACTTCGGTACTATACCTGATTCTTGCTAAACCCACCATGGAGAGGCCTGAAATAGTTTTTCTTGCCCCTGATTTCTTCATGAATGGGTTAGAGGTTTTATTCTGTGGACCTTAAGAGCCTCTGCCTTCGGGATTAAATAGAGTTTATAAATGTAGAACTATCCTTCTGGGTTTAAACAAGACTCCTCTCTCTCTGGAGCACGGTTTCTATGACTATAATTTGAGATCATTGATCTGTGATTCTAAACACAGCTTCTATTTTGGTTTTCATTTGGTGCTAACATTAGGAAGCACTTGGGTAGTACTTGCCCTGCATCAGTCCCAGTTCTAAGTGCCGGACACTCAGTAAGATAGTTTAAGTAGTAAATACTAGTACTAGACCCG